AAAATAATTCCCACATTGCCCGTGCCCCCCCCCCAAAAAAAAACCCAACCAAAAAACACCTCAATCTGTACTCTGAGTCTATCACCTCTCTATCAGGAGGTGGGTAAAATGTTTCATCTTAAATCCTCTGGAATCGTTGGTCATTGTGTTTTTTAAAATAATATTTTATTTTTTCCCCAATTACATGTAAAGATGATTTTTAAAATTCATGTTTAAAAATTTTTGAGTTTCAAATTTTCTCTCTCCCTCCCTTTCTGAGACTGTCAGCAATTTGATACAGGTTATACAGTGCAGTCATGCAAAACGCATTTCCATGTTGTGAAAGAAGACACAGTTGGTCATTGTGTTGATCAGCATTCCTGAATCTTTCAGAGTTGTTTGTCTTCGTAATATTGCTGTTATTTTTTGAATTGTCCTCCAAGTTCTGTTAACTTTTCATCAGTTCATACAGGTCTTCCCATGTTTCTCTGAAACCATTCGCTTCATCAGTTTTTACAGCACAATAGTATTCTGTTGCAAACACATACCATGTTCAGCCCCTCCCCAATTGATGGGTACCCCTTCAGTTTCCAATTTTTTGCCACCATAAAAAAGCTGCTATAAATATTTTTATACATATGAATTCTTTTCCTCTTTACTGTCTTTTGGATATAGACCGGGTAGTGGTATCACTGGATCAAAGGGGAACAGTTTAGTAGCTTTTGAGGTATGATTCCAAATTGCTTTCCAGGATGATTGGACCAATTCATAGCTTCACCCACAGTTCATTAGTGTACTTGTGTTCCCATAGCCCCTCTAGCATTTGTCGTTTTCCTTTTTTATCAGTTTAGTTAATCTGATGGGCATGAGGTAGGACTTAAAAGTTGTTTTAATTTGCATTTCTCTATTAATGAATTATAGAGCATTTTTATGTGACTGAATATTCAAGTTAGGGTTTCTTTGAAAACTGCCTGTTCATATCCTTTGAGTATTTATCAATTGGGAAAAGGCTCTTAGTCCTATAAATTTGAGTCGGTTCCCTATACATCTTAGAAATGAGATCTTGATCAGAGAATTCAAGTTATTGTTATAATGTTGAGATTGGGAAAGGAGGAAAATTAAGCTATAGCAGAGGTGATGAATGACCTGGGAGATCACTGTGGGGTAGAGTACCTAGAGGTCCCAGTGAAGATGAAGAATAGGTTGAGGAGGAATGAGGCATTGGAAGAGATGAAAGTTGTGGAGGTTGTGATCAGATTGAGGAATTTCAGAGTTCTTAGACATAGAAGTGGAATTCTTTATGAGTTATGGTAAGATTAAGGGTATGGCGATCTCAGTGGGTGATTGAGGTGGACTGAGGGTTCAGATTGTGGGAGTTGAGGTGTTTAGTATCACATTAACATGTATGTTGAAGTCCCCAAATATAAGGGAAGAAGTTGGGGTGAAGGAGACTTAGCTCCTGAATGCCTTTTTTCTACTCCTGGTCAGACATATGTAGTTCCTTCAACTAATTGTCATAATGGCCAGTCTCCTTATCACCCTGAATCACCCTCCTTGACATACTCCACCTTGTCAAAGTCTTTTTTCAAATGTAATTTTCCCAGAAATGAACAAAATATTCCAGCTCTGCCCTGAACAAGGCGGAGTACATCAGGGCTATTATGTCCCTAATTCTGGACACTGTTTCTGTTAATGCATTTTAAGATCACATTAGTCTTTTGGCTGCCACATCATACTATTGACTCATGAACTTATTGTCCATTAAGACTCCATCTTTTTCACATGAATTCTTTTGTCTAGTTACATCTCCTCTGTGCTTGTATTGTTGGTTTTAAAAATCCAAATGTTGGATTTTGTATTCATCCCTCTTCAACTTACTAGATTTGGTACTTAACTGTCATTCAGTGCCTTAACTATCTCTCCCAGTTTTGTGGCATCTGCAAATTTGATAAGTATGCCATCTTGTCCTTTATCCAAGTATTGGTAAGAATATTAACAGAATGACACCCAAGGCAGATCCCCTTTCTTTTTATTCTTATGCTTTTGATCAAGTATCAGAAAGACATCCTCTCATTGACCTTTCAAACTTTGGTGGTGGCCCAAGTGTTTTTCTTCATTGGAAGGTCAGTGGATTCAAAGAAGGATGTGTTGGAGAAGAACATGAACTAGCTAAAATAGATTTGGAGAGAGTAGAAATTTAATTAGGGGTCAATATTAAGTCCTACATTTGGGGTTTAGAAAAATTATGTTATAAGTACAGGATAGAGGAAGCAGGACTAGATAAGGTTCTTTTTACGTGAAAAAGATTGGAGAATTAGATTGCAAATTCAGTACATATCAATAATGTGATGACAGTCAAAAAAACTTAAGATGTCTTAATAAGCATAATGTCCAGAATGAGGGAGGTAATTGTTCTGCTGACCATTTCCCTGGTTAGATCACATCTGGAATTTTGTGTTCATTTCTGAGTACTCCATTTTAAGGAAAGATATTAAAAAACTAGAGGGTATCCAGGACTATGAGAGGTGTCTGTGTCATCTGAGCATCATTTGAAAAAACTGGGGATATGAAGTGACACTTAATTTGGAGGAAGGGAGAATTTTTGTGAAGTAATTGAAAGTAGAAGAAGGAATGGCCTTGTTCTGCTTGAGGCCTGGGGAGCAGAATTAGAAACAGTATGTAGAAGTTTCAAAGAGGCAGATTTCAATTAAATGTGAGGAAAGACTGGCTAATAGTGAGAACTATCCCAAAATGGAGTGAATGTAGGAGGTAAGGGGTTCCTTATCACTGGAGGTCTTCAAGTGGAAGCTGACCAACCATTTGACAGGAATGTTATATATAGCATAGATCTTTGTTCGGTTACAGTTTAGACCAGAGGTTCCCAAACTTACTTGGTCTACCACCCCCTTTTCAAAAAAAAAAAAAAATTACTGCGTGCCCCCTTGGAGTTATGTTAGGTTAACCCTTATTTTATTTAGTGCCCTCTCCCCCAATTTCACCCGAGGCTACTACTGCCCCCTGCATTGTTCCAACGCCCCCTCAGGAGGCAGTATCGCCCACTTTGGGGACTTATGATTTGGACTATGCATCTTGGGTTTTCTTCTTGGAAATTCTGTAAAATTGTCTAAAGTTGGAAGTAGGTAGCAAGCTGAGTGGAAATGATTCCAAGAAGGTAGTGTAGGTAAATGGGGAAAGGGTTGCGATTGTTCTATGGCCTGGAAATAGCATTTTGTTTTGTCTTGTCCTAGAAGATAGGCCACAGTAACAGTGCTTTTATTTGATTAAGATTTCCTGTAGGAAAATTTTTATGAAGGAAAGGCTTTTCTTGATCCCTTTTTGGGTTACAGTAAGTCACTCTCAAAGTGCCTAATTATTCAATGTTTAAATTTCAGGCGGGAGAAAGAAGAAGCTGAGCCTTTCCATTTTATTTTTCTGCCATTATGTACCAGTCATTTTCCTCCTTCCCTAATCCTTCTTCAAATATCCCACAAACACATAAGCGTAAAAGAACTAAAGGGTCATTTATCTAGGAAATCTGCATTTCCCTATGATTGCAAGCTCATTCATTATAGAGATGCGGGGTATCAACTGTGTTTTTTCTTCAGCTCTTGCATATAATTAATGTTTGCCAAATCGAATCATGTTGTTCAGTCCCTTCATTTTATTTTATTGTATTTTTAAATTCAGTTTTATTTTATTTTCAGTTTCAAAATCTTTTCCTCCCTCCACCCCTCCTCCATCCATTGAGAAGGCAAGAAATATGATACCCATTACACATATGAAATCATGCAGAACATTTCCAGTTAGCCATGGGGGGGTGGGGGTGGGGGGTAGGGAAGGAGACAAGAAAAAGAAAGAGAAAAAAGATATGCTTTACTATGCACTCTTGAGTCCCTCAGTTTTCTATGTGGAGGTGGATAACATTTTACCATGAATCCTTTGAAGTTGTAGTGATCCACCTCAGTCTTCCACAGTTGATTATTTTTACAATATTGTTGTTAATGTGTAAATTGTTTTTCTGGAACCATTCCCTTCATTATTCCTTCCCTTCCCCTTCCCCTTCCCCTTCCCCTTTCCTTTCCTTTATGCTAGGCAATAGGGTTAAGTGACTTGCCCAGGGTCACACAGCTACTAAGTGTTATGTGTCTGAGGTAGGATTTGAACTCGGGTCCTCCTGACTCCAGGGTTGGTGCTCTATCCACTGTGCCACCCAGCTCCCTCCAGCCTTCATTATTTCTTTCAGCATAATAGTATTCCATCAGAGAAACTCTCAAAGATTTTCCCCCCCAGTTTCCTTCTTTTCTAATTTTGGCTGCATTGGTTTTATTTATGCAAACTCTTTATAATTTTATGTAATCAAAATTATCCTATTACCTCCTGTAAACCTCTGTGTATTTTATTTCGTCATGAACTCTTCCCTTATCCATGGATCTGACAGGTAACTACTTCCACGCTCCACTAATTTGCTTATGATGTTACCCTATAAAAGTCTAGATAATGCACCCATTTTGAACTGATCTGGGTGTACAGTGTGAGATGTTGGTCTCTGTCTAGTTTCTGTCTAACTACTTTTCCAGTTTTCCCAGCAATTTTTATCAAATAGTAAGTTCTTGCCTTAATAGCTTGAAGCTTTGGATTTATCAAACACTAGGTTACTGTGTTCATTTGCTTTTGTATATTGTGCCCTTGTTTTATAAATGAGGAAACTGAGACTCAGAGAGGGGAAAAATCACATGAGCAATAAATGGCAACGGAATCTCAAACCTAGGGCTTTTGGCTCTAAGTCAAGTACTTTTTTCCTTCTGGTATTCCTCAAGTATTTTTTCCTTTTACTATTCCACACTACCTCTCACTACAATAAAAGAGGATGTTCTATAGAGTGTGTACTTATGGGATTTCACTTATATTAAATCTCCTGTTTTCTTCATAAAAAAATTATGTTTCCTTAATTGTAGATAAGCTTAAACTGAACTAAATTAGGAACAAATTGTTTATCTTTACAAACTTTTGGTTAAATTTAGGGCTTTGGGGATTACTGAAAAGGAAAGAAAAGATGAAAGTGTTACAGCGATACAGTGAGTGAAGAAAGAAACATGAAGGTACTATATTTAATTTTTATAGTATACAGATTAGTGTGCATAGTTGCGGCTGGATTAGATAGATGATTAGATCTAGAAAATATTACAATTTATTTTATAGTATATGCAGTTTATAAAATAGTTAAGAAAATTGAGATCCTACTTTTGTCTAACAACTATTTTAACTGTAGTACTCTACTAAGTTGGCATACTTCATCTACAGTTGTTTTAAGGCATATCTGTAGAAACTATTATTTGAAATGTTAACTAAATATTTGCTAAGCTAGGTATTGAGGTTAGTTTGGTGAATTCACTTGTAGATAAGCAGTGATACATCGGATCCCATTATAACAAACTCCACAGAGCACCTGCCTTTTTGTTAGAATTTTATTATTACATTTTATTTATTTAACAAGCATTTATCTTTCCCTCTTACTATCCTCCCTCTCCCACCCACATTGAGGAGTAATGAAAAAAGAAAAACTAATCACAAAAAATATTAGTCCAACAAATCACCGTGTTAGTCATGTTTAAAAATGTATGTTCATTCCTCATTTTAGGTCCATCACTTCCCTGGCCAGAGGTGGGAAGTATGTTTCATTTTCAGTCCTCTAGCATCATTCTAAAGTCTTTCAAAATTGTTTTTCTCTTTACTGTTATTATCATTGTATAAATTATTCTCCTAATTCTGCTCATTTCACTCAGCATCAATTCATATAGGTCTTCCCAGAATCCTCTGAAACTGTCCATTTCATTCATCATTTCTTACACACAGTAATATTCCACTATATCCATATACGGAATTTGTTTAGCCATTCTCCAGTAGGTATTTCTCTAGTTTCTAGTTTTTTTGTTTCTGTGAAAAGAACTGCTATAAATATGTTTGTCCATATAGGTCCTTTTCCACTTTATTTGATCTCTTTGGGGCCTAGGCCTAGTAGTGGTATAGCTGGGTCAAAAGGCACGAACAGTTTAGTAATTTTTTGGTCATAGTTCCAAATCGCCTTTCCGGAATGGCTGGACTAATTTACAGTTCCACAGACACTTCATTAATGTGTCTGTTTTCCCACAGCCCCTCCAACATTTGTCATTTTCCCCTTTTGTCAGAATTTTGTTTTAAAAAGAACATTCACAACAATGTAAATGGAAAGAACAAAGCAATGGACACTGAATCCTAGGAAAGTATAATGACCAGGCCTGTCTCCACAGAAGAGATGAGAAAGCACCTCTCACTCCTCCTTTGTAGTAGAATGTTGCATATGTTGTCAGGCTTTTTTGGTGTGTTGCTTAAGAGCATCGCCCCTATAGCCTGTCCTTGCTTCCCCCTTTGACTAGAACTGTTCTGAAGAGGATAGTGAAAAATTTGGAACACATTTAAGGAAAAGGAAAGAGATAGCTAAGCAAATTCCATTTCACTTTGAAGGAGATATCAGATAATATGCCTTTCTTTCTTCTTCCTTCTTTCCATCCATCCTCCTTTCCTTCCCTCCTTCCTTTCTTTTCCTCTCCCTAGTCCCCAAGCTCTTTGTTTATTAGTTTGAAGAGGGGTTTGAGTAGTATGGGTGGGGTTTTTTCTGGCCAAGGTCATGGAATACATAGAATTGTGAGTTAGAGTTAGAATGGTCTAGTATAATGGTAGCAAACTCAAATAGAAAGGGATCCTTGTGGGCTGCATATTGATTTAGAAGACCACAAATTTACATTATCTGTTGTATTGCATTTTTATTTATTTTGTTAAATACTTCCCAATGACATTTTAATCTGGCTTGGGAGGGCCAGGAGTTTGACACTTCAGGTGTAATGTATAGAGTGCCAGACTGGCTGTGTGATTGTGGACGTCATTGAATTTCTGAGGATCCTTTCTCATCTGGTAGGTGTAAGAGCTAAAAGGGACCTTAAAAATCCTCTCATCCAACTTACTCATATTGCTGATGAGGAAACTGAAGTCCAGAAAGTTTAACTGACTCGCATACAAATAATAAGCCAGTGGGGTTGGGCTTCAAATCCAGCTCTTAATTCTATCTGAAACTCTTCCCACATCACTTTCTTTAATGTTTGAGCTAGAGAAGGCCATGAGGAACTGAAAGACAGTTATTGCTGATTAATCATCTGTGGGGACCAAAAGCAGAGCTGGGAATAGTCTTGCCCTCACTAGCTGCCCGACTACTAAAACATTCTGGGATTTTTGGCATGGACTTGACCATGTTTTTGTTTTATGTCATTAACATTTTCCTGTTACCAAGGTTTTTGTAGTATACTGATTTCAAGAAGTATCTCCAGTATGTCTAGTTCCAAGAATTTGCACTATCCCTTGGCTTTTTTTTAAAATAGAATTTTACCTCTGGCATGGATAGAGTACTGGACAGCTTCTTACAAAACCCCAGGCTCAGGCCTCTCACTGTGTGACTCTGGTCAAACGGACCTCAGGCAGCTCTGGAAGACTTAAGTTATTGATAGGTCATGGCGGACGTCTGAAGTGAAAGGGAAGAGGGAGGGGAGGGAACAAGCATTTCTGTGGCCTTTCCTGAGGATCAGGAGCCTTTACGGTGATCTCATTTGATACAACGACCCTGTGAGGTGAATGAAAGGGACCCAAAGCGTTGGGATGCCCTTAAACAACAAGTGTTAGAGACTAGTAATGTGTAGAGGTGCACAGCTGCACCTGTACAGAAAAATTAATATAATGATTAATTGACACAGAATTATGATTAATTAGGAAATTTTCCTAAATAAGGCTGCCTTTCAGTAGTCAAGGTTTAGAAAAGAAAGTTTGGCACTTTTGTATATGCTGGCAGTGTTGTAATGCCTTCTTTTCTCATCCTACTTGACTACTCTATCATTTGAAGAGCCGATGGTATTTGTATTGGTGATGGAACTGCTATTTTGGAGAAGGAGGGAATGTTTATGGGTTTTTTTTTAAACCTGGCTTCTCTGGGAGGGAAAGAAGTTCCCCTCCCCACCTGATTTTAGAAAGAAAAGGATAATGAGGGGGGTGAGTAGGTAGACGGAAGAGTCTGAAAGAGAATAGTTAACTATGATTTTAGCAAATGCTCTGAGGTCTCTCTAGTGTCAGTAACGTTTAGTTCTTTGTAAGGATAGTGGTTCAGGAAACAGGAGAGGGTCAACACAAGCAGTATAAGATTAAGGAACCTTTCCCCTCTCAGCAGTGGAATTGGAACATTGATTGGTGTAGATGCTAATGTCAGTTTGGGGTTTTGTTAGAATTAAGATGACATTTTTTTTTCTCCTTAGCTCTTTGTTTTTTCTTTTGGGAATATGTTTTGTTTAGTGTTCAGGTAGATCTTATGCCTCCTTGAATGCAATTGATTTAGTTACTAGTGTCACCAGAAGGGCCAGGAATCGTTTCTGTGTTTTGATTCAGTGATTCTCAGTGATGGTTGCCATTTTGAGCTCTCCCCCTGTTGACTCAGGGGAAGATAGAAAAACCACAGTGAGGGTCATGGTTAAGAACAAAATCTAGTTCAAGTTGTGACACAAATCAGTAAAAGGAGAGAAGCAGATCACTTGAAGATGAACCCTTCTGTGTGACTTTGAATATTTGTGGAAATGGCCTTCCAGCCACGTACCAGCTTTTCTACCTGTGAGTTGGCAACATTTTGTCATGGTGGGTTCTTTATGACTTCAGTTTATTTCAACTTGAATTTTTTTTTTCAGTTTAACTTTCTTGGTGGTAAGAGAGCAGCAGACCAGTAATTATTGCTAAATTCACCTACCTGGTAGGTAGAATGCTGAAGAACATCCCTGAGTATTACTGACAGTTCCCTTTGTCTCTGTCAGTGTTCAAGGTAGAGAAGTAGCCCAAGTTACTCACTAGTGGTACTGGCTGCAGAAGCTTCAGTGAATATCTTAGGAGCATCATTAGTGTGCCTGTCTTGGCTTCTGTTGGGAAGTAATCCATTGCAGGGTTGGTAGAAAGTACTACAGAGTAAGAGGTGAAGGCAGTTGAGCAGTAGGCATCTGATTTTAGAGAGCAGGAAGATGGAGATAAAAGCCTAGAATGAGAGTAATGACAATAAGAGGGGGCGTATGGGATCTAGGCTGACATTTTACTTAATCATCTTGTTTTGGGAGCTTTATTTTCTTGATAAATACTCTGGTGATTTTTGGTCTATCTCTTAGGTAATCAGTAGAACTGAAGGGAACCTTAACATATAACGTCTAGTCTATATCATACAAATAAGGAAATTGAGGTCCAAAGAAGTTCAGTGAATTGTCCAACCCCCTCAGCTACATCACATCAAGCCTTTTGACTCACAATCTAGTTTGATTTTTTAAAAAAAACCTTTTCTACTGAAAAAAAAAAAGAACACAAAGCTATAGAAGTATGTAGTTGTCTTTTGACAACTGGAGAGGGGAGGAAAGGGGGCAGAGAATTTAGAACCATCATTTCATCACTGTGGGAAACTCCTGGTGTAGAAACTCCTTCCTTGGAAACAGATGAGCAGCTCATGTAACATATAGCCTTAGGGAATTGCTTGAGATAGAGGTTCACTGACTTGTCCAGGGCGATATAATCAGTGTTGTGTGTCAGATGCAGGACTTCCCCTCAGGGCTATCCACAAAGCTTTCTTAATTCTCATTAACTCCTTTCTGAGCCTCTGCTATAAGTAGAATATTGGTTGTCAGTCTGTATCTGATAAGTTAACTTTCATGTTTCTTCCTGTGAATTTTTTTATGGCAACTCTGACCTTTTCTGTTTTGGAAAAATTCCAGATTTTGGAGCTTGGAGAAAGAGGAGCAAAGTACACTGTGTTGTGGCTGTTGAATGATGCTTAAGTTACCTTGACCTCTTATTATCAAAGGTAATTTCTTCCAGACTTAACAAATATGCTATGTTCTAAACATTTTCTGAATTAATTTGTACATGTTTTCAAATTCTGTTTAATGAAGACTTAACTTTTTATATTCTTAGTCTATTTCACAACAGCTTTGGTTTGTTGCCTGAATTTTGGAACGGGGATCCAACTAGGCCTACTGAACATGATTAATGTGTATACATACTACAAGGTCTCTCCAAGCCCTATAACCCAATTATATGCCCCCACGGCCATTGTGCATGGGGTGGGAAGATCTAAAATGCTATGCTATTAGTAGTGATAAAAAATAATATTAGTTGGCATAATTTGTGTTAGTATATGACAGGAACTAAAAGTGAAATTATGGGGCAGCCAGGTGGCACAGTAAACAGAGTTCTGGGCCTGAAGTCAGGGGGACTTATCTTCCTGTGTTTAAATCTGGCCTCAGACACTTACTAGCTGTGTGACCCTGGGCAAGTCACTTCACTCTATTTGCCTCAGTTTCCTCATCTGTAAAATGAACTGGAGAAGGAAATGGCAAACCACTCAGGTATCTCTGCCAAGAAGGCCCCGAATGGAGTCATGAAGAGTACACAACTGAAACGACTGAACAGCAATAAAAGAAATTAAGGTCACTGAGCTAGCATTTCAGAATTTAAGATTAACGAAATTTTTATTGAGATTTAGACATAACATTGGCATAATTTCATTTGATTTTCTTACTGATTTAAATTTAAAGTGGATTGGGAGGCATAGTATTTTGATAGTAGCTCACCTTTATGTATATCATTTTCCTTACAACAACCCTAAGACATCGATGGTTCAAGTGTCATTTTACATTTTACAAGACGAAATAGGCTAAGTTAAATGGTATGCCCGTTGTCTCCTAGCTAGTAAACTTTGGAGCTGGGTCTTGAACCCCAGGCCTTCTGCTCTTTCTGCTATACCAGTTAGTTTGACCACATGACAAGGTTTGATCTAATCACTATTAGAAGATTGTTCATGAATGCGGGATAGACACTGATCTGGTGGCTTGTTCTCTAGTGGATTCTATTTATGAAATAGTTCTGGTGAAATGTACGAAGAGACAACTTCGAAAACTCCTCCCTCCTTATCAGCCAAGCAACAACTGGTTTAACAAACTAACAAAGTCACAGTGGCTTGGCTTGGTTTTGGACTGCTAAGCCCCCTGCAAAAAAAGTGTTTTGGTTCTCTCAATTACATGTTTAAGAGTTTGGTCATTTGGAAGCTCTCTGAAGAGGACAATGGAAAGACCGCAAGGAAAGAGTAAGGTGGAACAGTGTCAATCAACAACTGTAAAGAAATGTCTTTCATAACTTTGTTGTCTTATGTGTTGGGTATTTCAATTGTAATCATCATAACAGCTAGCATTCTGATAGGACTTTAAGGTTTGCACAGCAATTTACAAATATTACCTCATTTTATCCTCACAACAACTCTACGAGTTGGGTACTATTATTATGACCCCTAAACTGAAGCAGATAGAGGTTAAGTGACTTGCCCAGGGCCACCCAGCTAGCAAGTGTCAGAGGTAGCATTTGAACTCAGATCTCTTGACTTCAAGTCCTGTGGTCTCTGTCCTATATCTAGCTGCCTCTGTTCTGATCTTATTTCGTTCACTTCGTTCTTAACCCTGTAGCTGACTAATTAAACCATACACCATCTTCTTTTTTTTTCCCCCCCATACACCATCTTCTAACCTTGAATCTATTGCTTCTTTATCCTGTCACCAGTCATGCCTTGGAAAACTCTTATCCTAGGTTACCCACACCATCTGTCTTCTTATTTCCTACTCACATACTGCTGAATGGCACTGGACAAAATCCTGTGGTCATGCCACTTAGACCCACTCCAAATTAATGCCCTTCAATCGGGCTTTTACTGCTACCTGACAATTCTTGTATTCTATTCCTGTGAGGTGTGATTAGAGAATCGGTTTCAGAAGAATGAGGTAAGAGTTTGAAGGATAGGATGTTATGGTCAGATGAAAAAAATCTGAGTTCTGAATCATGGGTGTAGAACAGTTAGTAGGGATGGTCGCATCAAGAGTCTGAATATCCCTTTGCGTTATGGCTGTGGCATAGTTCTTCATTTATGTCTTACAGCCTGCTTATGCCCTCCATTTTCCTGAGTGATCCTCATTTTTAATTATTTTGAGACTGTTGATTCACAGCTAAACACAATCGCCAATAGAATATTGATATTAAAAAGATGAAACTTTGTTTCACCAAAAAAGTTGTGGATCATTAAGGGGGTTTTGCAGGTCCCCAAAGGTAATAATCCAGCTGGCTCTCATTCTCATTGATTTTGGACCCAACTCTCCATTGTCCCTTTTCTGTGCTTGTTGAAGATATAGATAGATAGACAAACTGGTGGATATGCTCTGTATGTCTCATAGTATGGAAAATGTGTACTCTTTTTTTTCCACACTTTATTTTTAACATTCGTATTTTTAAAATTTTGAGCTCTAAATTCTCTGTCTCCCTCCCCATCCTTTCCTTACCCATTGAGAAGGCAAGCAAGATGATATCAGTTATACAAGTGAAGTCATGCAAAACATTTCCGTATTAGTCATGTAAAAAAATTAAAAAGCAAGAAGCATAAAGAAAGTGAAAGAAAATCTGCGTCAGTCTGTACTCGAGAGTTCTCTGGAGGTGGATACATTTTTCATCACGAGTTCTTTGGAATTGTCTTGATCAGGGTAGCTAAGTCATTCACAGCTGATCATCATTACAGTATTACTGTTCCTGTGTGCAATGTTCTCCTGGTTCTGCTCACTTCACTTTGCATTAGTTCATGTAAGTCTTATCAGGTTTTTCTGAAACCATCCTGCTCGTCATTTCTTATAGCATAATAAATAGTATTCCATCACAGTCATAGACCACAACTTATTCAGCCATTTCTCAGTTGATGGGCATCCCTTCAATTTCCAGTTCTTTGCCACCACTAAAAGAGCTGCTAGAAATATTTTTGTATATCTAGATCCTGTTCCCTTTTCTTTGATCTCTTTGGGGTACAGACCTAGTAGTGGCAGACAATGTGCCATTCTTGATCCTTTTATTTTTCTTTGAGAGAAGAAGAGGTGTTTAGGCCCACCTCTTTTGAGTGATTATGAGCTCATTGAAGAGGCTCTGCAGCGTTGCTTCTGGTGCCTGATGCAATCAGTAAATAAACAGGAGGATCTGGAAGAGCTCACTTATGAGAAGGGAATGCCTCTTCAGCTTGGATTCTGGTGGAGTTCTGTGACAGTGGTGAACAGCTTTAGGGAGCAGACCTTTCCTTGTTTTATTCTTTGCCTGATATGTATGCCTCATTAAACAGAGTTGTTGTCTGTCATTATCGTTTTCAAGGAATCTTGCATGGTTTTGATGCATGCATAGGAGAACACCTTTTGTTAGTCATCATACATGCCCAGTGGGATCTTAGTATTACAACCCTAACCCTTAGTTGTACGATGATCAAGATGTCTGCTGTGGAATATTTCTTGAGAAAGCCTGCCTATTTCTTTCTAATACTCTCCTTAAGGTTGCCTTCAATGCATATGTAGGTTATTACCCAAAAAATTTATAAATAGGAAAGTAGGCTTGTGGATAGGTAATTGTTGATATTCTATTGGTTATTCTTTAAAAAACTAAGGTCCAGGATATTTTCATGCTTTTAGTATTTTTCTTTCCTTTAGCTATCTTGTGAATCAATCCCTGAGCACCCTCACCTTTGTGTTGTCTCCAGCTGCTGTTCCTGTCTGTTTGCTTTAGTGCTACTTCTTCCTCTGTTAGCACTTACAGGAAAGGACTGTGATGTTAAGAGACCAGTGACTTAGTCCCACTGTTCTTAATAGTGATGAAAAGATTTTTTTGGTGATAATCTTCACAAGTTCTTTTCCGTTTTTCTTCTATTTGTTATGCTGCCATTTTCATCCTTCAGTGATCTTGGGATGACTTTAATTAAGGTCAGATCTTTTGTCTGACTTTCTTTAAATTTGTTTTAACCTCCATTGCCTTTTTTTTTTGTTTTTAAAGCAATACTCTGCCATTTTTCTTTGTAAGATAATACAAACCAGTTTATTATGTTCTAAATTGGTATGGTCTTTAGCTGCCATATCTCTCCACTGGGCAAAGTAAGGCAAGTGTTTGCCAGCTGGGGTATGTTTTTGGCTCTTGTTTTCCTTTTTATGGCAAAATGATTTATATTGGTTATACTTCTAAATGAAGTTATTGTAATCAGTGTCTAAATTCTTCCATTTACAGCTTATATTTTATCACCAGTAATTTGCTTAAATAGGTCAGGTAGGAGTTCTTTTAATTATATAGTATCTTTTTCTCATTTTTATTCTTCTGGCTTTGTACTAATTTTGATCTTTGCTGTAACAAATCCAGGCTGCTTCCCACATCAGTAACAAGTCGTTTCCTGTCCACATGTTATCACTGTGGGGTTTTGTGTGAGGTTATTTGGCTTTCCCTATGTCCAGTACCTTCACATTCTTTTAATTTTTTATTATTCTGAACTTGACAAACACAACAGACCTAAACATTTCCTGATAGAATAGAAAAAGAGGACTGCATATGAAACTGAATTTCAAGTGTATCATAAATTCATCATGTTAATTTCAAAGTTGTCCTATTTGTCTTTGTCTCTCTGAACTTCCTTTTTTGTTTGAAATGTTTCAGTGACACTTTTATCTTTCTTTTCATTTTTACTTGGCATCACTATCACTAAACCTAATTTCTACCAGGCTGCTTTCTGGTCTTCAGCTTACAAATGGGAGTTCTTTCCTCAGTAGTCAGGGTCTTTGAGTTTATCAAACACGGTGCTACCATGGTTGTTTGTTTCTGTGTGTTCTATACCTAATCTATTCCACCAATCGGTTTTTCTGTTTTTAACCATTTCCAAAGAGTTTTGATGATTACTGCTTTGCAGCATAGTTCTAAATTTGGTACTGCTCAGGCCCCTTCCTTCTCACTATTTCTCTTGAGATTCTTGGCCTCTTTACTCTTATCAATGAATTTTGTTAATGTTTTTCCTAGACCTGTGAGTAAAGAGGCAGTGTGGAACAGCTGAAAGAGCACTGAACTTGGAGCCAAGGACCCCTTGGTTTCCAATTCCCTCCTTTTCATTTTGAAGATCATATTCCTTGCTGAAGAGGCCGGCAGTGCAGTAGCCGAGCCTTCCTGGGTATCTTGGACATTTATTTCTTTTTGCAGACTTCAGCAGATCCTGACATTTTAGCCTTCCTGTTACTCTTCAAACAACTCTTGGACTCTCACTTGTCTACGTGTCCCTTCCGAATACCCGTTTTTTAAGAAGCTCATTGGGGAGCTCTCGACTTCCTTTGGCCTCACATAGATGCCTTGCTGTTTTCTTTTTAATCAGGATTGTTCATAATTGTATGGTCAAAAGTTTAGAGGTTTTGGTTTTTTTTGTCATGTCCCTAAAGCATGTATGAATTTGTAGGTTCCTGATTTTTAGTGTTAAGTCATTGACATTAAAAAAAATACTCCCTTAGCTTTTTCCAAGTATGGAATCAGTTTCTAGTTGCATGTGATGTGGTACTTAAGCTTAATGGAAAAAATGTGAGTTTCCCGTTGTTTTTTAAAATTTGCACTATAGGATTTTATAAGTTAACTTATTTAAGTTTTCTTTTTGAGGTCACCTTAGAGTATCTAGTTTGTATAAGACCAACATATGACAGACATTTTTGTAACAGTTTTACCAAAGTAGATGAATCTTTCTGTTAACTATCTTGGGAAACTTGAGTCTTTCCAAGAATTGTTAAAGTTTCTTTCTCCCATTTCACTGATTTTTATTTTATTTTTTCTAAGATGACAGAATAGTTCCAGGTACAATCTAAGAAAAACTGGAGAGAGCTCCAGGAACTTAAGCCTGGACCCAAATGCCCTTTCCAAGAAAATATTTCTTGCTAGTTTTGGGTTTTGTGGGTTTTTTTTTTCCCTTTTTGGTAAAGGGAAGTTTTTTATTTCTAGTTAAGACTATTGCTGCGTGATCTTGATACTTGCGAACTTCTCCCATGTTCACATGCATACAGGAGATGAATCTTTTTTTTTCTTCTAATTTATTTTGTCAAAAAACCTCAAAGAATTTTTCCCAGCATCTTTGGTAAATTAAAGGAAACGTAGTAAAAGAACTTTTAATTCCATGCCTGTTGCAGATTTGAAATACTACCCTGTCCCCTCCTCTATCCCTTCCCCGCCATTGTTGGTTGCTTGTGGAATGCAGGCTAATTTTAATGTTGGCTTAATCCAAATATAATTAAGAGGGAAGGTGGAGGGAAGCATAAACCAAATAAAATTGATTTTTATATCGTTCCCAGTCTTTAGATTCCATAAAATGTACATTTTCATTAGCAGGGAAAATTGCTAGTTGACCACATAGAAACCTGGCAAAATATTCCTTTAAGTTCTTACAGTTATTGAATTTTCCTGGTGAGCTTCTGTATTTTCTGAATACTTACTCGGAAGTATATCCCTATACTTTTCAATGGTTAATGACAGTTAGATAACTAGTTGTGTACTTAAAAGTTTGTTAGCAAACTTAATTTCTTACCATAAAATCTTAAGGCAGTTTTCTAAGTCGTATAGAGTATATTCATCTATCTGATAAATTCTGTCAATGTTAATGGTAGAAAGAGGATAGTGAATATTTTTAGGTTGATCTATATGCTGTTTTCTAGATGAGCAATCTCTTTTCCTCCTTCTCTTAGATAATTTTCCATTCATTCATCACAATGGAAAGCTCAGATGCTAATGATAAAGGAAATGTTGATCAATCTGAAGCCCAGCGTAGGCGGCAACTGGATCGATTGGATCGGGAAGAAGCTTTCTACCACTTTGTAAATAATCTGAGTGAAGAAGATTATAGGCTTATGAGGGATAACAATTTACTAGGTACCCCAGGTATGTTCTATGTAATTTTGAGGATTTACATGTATAAATTATTGACTTTAAAATTGTTGAATTTGATTTTTCAGTCAGATAGTTTCTTTAACCATTGTATTGCTGTATTTGAATGATTACAATAATTTGGTGCCGCTGATCATAGAATTATAAGTTTAGATCTGGAAGGGACTCCAAGTCATCTTGTCTAGCTGTCCTCTTATTTTACAGATGTGGAAGCTGTGGCCCAGAGAGTTTAAACACTTTCCCAAGGGTTTATATCTGGTGGGGAACCTGCGGGCCTTGAGGTCACATGGGGCCCTCTAGGTCCTCAAGTGCTGCCCTTTGACTGAACAAACTTGTTCTGTGAAGGTTGGATTCAAAGGGCCCACACTTGAAGACCTAGAGGGCCACATGTTCCCCACCCCTGGTTTATATGCATATATGCTAGAATGACTCTTGAGTTGACTAACCATTGCTTTGTATTATCTGATCTTATTCACAGCTATTTTATTACCATTTGCCACATACTGACTAGCAATGAATGGTGCTTAATTATCATCTTACTATCATCCTCTTTTTTGGAGGGTAGTAGTAACATGGACATTGCATTTGGGACACTGCAGATCCCAGAGTGCTGTGGTTCATGTGAAACATTGCCTCTTGAGATGGACTTAAATCTCTTTAGAATCCCTCTTAGGTCTGTGAATACAGTATAGATATGCACAAATTGATAATGCTGTTTCTAATATGCATAACCCACTTCTGTGAGTATGGGTAGGGTGAAAAAAAATGAGTAGGCTTTACTCGAGTTTTAGCCTTAGCTATAGAGCAGCGAGCGATAGGTTAAGCAAACAGTTTATGAGCCAAGTCTAGACTAGGAGTTGACGCCTTGGGGCACACACTGAAGGTGGCACATGAAATGAGTTTGTGGAATAAGAGATTAGGTCAAGGAATGGTGAGGAGGGGCTGAGGTATGTGAGTTCAAAGGCAAAGTAGGGGAAATTTTGTCTTTGGCCCCTTCTGTCTTTTCCTGATGTGCCCAGGCCCTTTCCTCCAGTTGCCTCTCTGCAGTGGTATTTGTTAGCAGATTCATAGTGTGCCAGTGACTTTCTTCCTTGGGGTATTTGCATTTTAATGATGGACTCTCAGTGCCTTCTAGACCCAAAAGAATGAAGTAGTGTGCTTCCTTTATTCCCTGTCCCTTTCCCCCCTCCAAAATGATTTTTTAAAAGGTTACCAACCTCAATCTCATCCCTTTTAGGGTTAGCATTCATTGCTTCTCTTTCCTTTATAATTGAACAACGTTTTCAAACTGTTTTCAGGTGAGATTACTGAAGAAGAATTATTAAGAAGACTTCATCAAATTAAAGAAGGTCCCCCACAACAAAACAATGATGAGAATAGAGGTATATAATATTTGGGGGAGATTAAGAAAAGGGGGGACTGCTTAGGTATTGGCATAAGTTATGCATAAGTGGGGACAAATGAATCTGAATTCTCAGACAAGTGAGATATTTGCTGTGCTATTTTTAGCAGCCTGGTCGGTGTTCTGTTGGGATAGAGTAAGATGTAGACCATTTAAATGAGAACTTTTTTTCTTGATTTCCCCAACTACACTGAATTTTCCCATTGCTTACTAGTTCCTTTCCACAGAACAGTTACTTCCTCTCAAGCAAATAAAAATGTTCTGGGCTCTGTATCCTCAGCTTTTATGGTGTTTCCCTGCCAGTGGGAGGTAGGGCCTCAGATGGGAAGGTCTGGCCTCTGCAGCCAGCAGTCCATTTTTGTTCCTGAGCTTGTCCCCTTGTGTACTGTGCTCAGGTTAGGTGCTAATGCTGTGCATGTAAATCAGTACTGTGACCCTTATAAGCACTTGCAGTATTATTCCATCAATGTGAAGTCTACTTTGAATTTTTGAAGTTCTCATTTTGTTGTTTTGGAGTCTTAGAAAAGTTAAGGAGCGGTAATTTTTTCTTTAGTAGTCCTAATTTTTGTAGTTCCTGTTTTTCTTTCTTTTTTTTTCTTTTTTTTTTTTCCTTATAGAATCAGCAGATGATGTCTCTAACAGCGATTCCATCATAGACTGGCTTAATTCAGTCCGACAGACTGGAAATACAACCAGAAGCGGACAGAGAGGAAATCAGTCTTGGCGAGCAGTGAGCAGGACTAATCCGAACAGTGGTGATTTCAGATTCAGTTTGGAAATCAACGTGAACCGTAATGGGACCCCGAATTCAGAGAATGAAAATGACCCGACTGCAGAACCGTCCATTGGAGAAGATATAGAAAACAATAGCCCAGCTGACGTGGAAACCTCAAGAGCTGAGTCGCCATTTATCAGGCAGCACGGACCCGAAAGGAACGTCCTGGAGGAATTAACTGAAGAGGTGTCTCTTCCCAGAGGTCAGAGAAGGGCAAGAAGCAGAAGTCCAGAGCAACGGAGGATCCGAGCGAGGACTGACAGAAGCAGATCACCTTTGATTTCAGTAACTGAGCTTCCCCGAAGAGGCCATCACAATGTCACATCTCAGACTTTGGAGCATTCTGTGGGAAATGAGGCTGAGGGCAGTTCTAGAACCAGGCAGCATGTGACATTGAGACAACACATGATGGGCACCGAACTGTCAAATGAAAATGCCATTTCATTTTCAACTTCTGACATGAGAAATATCCCTCAGGCATCAGGTTCTTCAGAAACCAGTGGGAGTAGTGAACCTCTAGCTCCTGGACAGAGACCTCCAACTATAGTCCTTGATCTTCAAGTGAGAAGAGTTCGTCCTGGGGAATATAGACAGAGAGACAGCATAGCTAGTAGAACTCGGTCAAGATCTCAGTCGACAAATAACACGGTCACTTACGAAAGTGAACGTGGAGGGTTCAGGCGCACATTTTCACGTTCAGAGAGAGCAGGAGTAAGAACTTATGTGAGCACTATCAGAATTCCTATCCGTAGAATCTTAAATACAGGTTTAAGTGAGACTACTTCAGTTGCCATTCAGACAATGTTAAGGCAGATAATGACTGGTTTTGGTGAATTAAGCTACTTCATGTACAGTGATAGTGATACAGACCCCAGTGGCCCATCCTTAAGTCCAAGTCTCGAAGACCCAGAACTTCAGAATGCAGGCTTGGGTAGTAGCAGTAGTGGAGGTGGCATTAGTGCTAGTACTAGTGCTGGCGGAGGTGCCAGTAGCAGTAGCAGTAGCAGCTCCAGCATTGAAAGTTTAGATGCTAACTCTGAATTATATGATGGTAGCAACGAAGGAAGCTCATCTGGCGTTAGACGGGAAGGTAGAACTAGAGACAGGAGTTCGGTCACTTTTGAAGAGAGCGGTTCTTTGCCTTTCCTTAGTCTAGCTCAGTTTTTCCTCCTAAATGAGGAAGATGATGACCAACCAAGAGGACTCACCAAAGAACAGATCGACAACCTGGCAATGCGAAATTTTGGTGAGAGCGACGCATTGAAAACCTGTAGTGTTTGTATTACCGAATACACTGAAGGCAACAAGCTTCGGAAACTGCCTTGTTCTCATGAGTACCACGTCCACTGCATCGACCGCTGGTTATCAGAAAATTCCACTTGTCCCATTTGTCGGAGAGCAGTCTTAACTTCTGGAAACCGAGAGAGTATTGTCTAACTGAATTCTGGACTTGGAGCTATCTGGCTGTTTAGAGTGATGGGCAAAACCTGAAAATAGATGTCACTTGCTTTATGGCCACTTTTTGAGTGGTGTTAAGTGTAATACCCTGGAGTGCATCTTTGCTTCCAATAAAATGTTCACCCCTTTCCCAACTCTTATGTGAAATAAAAGCCAGTTACTTTAAACAGCAACGTTTTAGGGCCCGGAAATCTGACTTTGAGTATCAATAAGTATCTATTTTATTGAACATAATTTTATCATAAGTATTTTTGGTTTCTCTTACTTATTTTAAAAGATATGTCTTAGTGATGGTTCCTCTCAGTTTCATTTTGATCTTGAAAGATCTAACCCCGTCCCATCCAGGAGAGAGCCGTGTGAAATGGAAGCCCAGGTTGGAATTAGATTTCATGTAAATTTTTTTTTTTTTAACATTCAAGCTCTACTATCTCCAGCCATTAGTTTAAATTCATCTAAATCAATAATATAATTTGTTATAATTACAGATTAGATGGGCATGTCAGTGTAAATAACACTAAAGATAGGGTCTTCTAATTGTATAGCTATCTCCTAAGCCAATCACTGGCACACACTGTAGAGTGAGCTGTGATAGTTTAATTGGGATATTTATCTTGTTGTGGAAATAATAAAAATGCCTATGCTTGTTTAAATAAAAATCACTTGGGGGGTGGGGTTAAAAATGTAAGGCTTTTTTTGTAGAGGCTCAATACTCTTTCCAGTACAGTGTTGTATTCATTGAAAATTTTAAAAAGCACTATGCTTAGATGTAAAAAGATGACTTTTCAAATGAGGGCCAGTATCTGTAGAAACACACACAATGATACAAAGCTGTTTTTGTTACATATATGACTGTCAAGAACAGCTTATCTAGAATTATTCCTTTATGTGAACAGCTGCAGTAACCTGAAATGAGCAGGACAAAGTTCAGAACTGAGTCCTATAATTGCATTCAAGACCAATAAAGAGCATTTTAGTGATGAGATTTGAAGCTTCGGGAATGCCAGCAGAAAGGAGATGGGTAGGGTTGGGTAGCAAGGGGGTCAGTCGAAGGAGAGAAAGCTCTGAAGAGCTTAACTTGCACTTGGTTAGGTGTAGTCATTCCAATGTGCCAGTTTTACACAAAGAGGTCAACACAGGCTTGATGCCTTTCTATTAATAGTAGGTGAAGGTGCTGTGTTGAATTTTCAGCAATTTTGATGGGAGTTTTTGGTTTTTTTTTTGTTTTTTGAATAAAAAACAAAAAACAAACCACACAGGACAGAACTGAACTTTTCACGACTCTCTCTCTCTCTCTCTCTCTCTCTCTCTCTCTCTCTCTCTCTCTCTCTCTCAACAATATTACAGGCTAATCTGCCCAAAAAAGTGATAGTGGAGGTGCAGGACTTAAAACACATTTTAGCAGAATTCTAGCTGCTATAGACATGTGCTCTGAATGGAAGAGCACTGAGGTTTTGTCATTTCAGAGTTTTGCTATTTAAAGGTTAAAACGTGCTCAGTCTATCTTATTTACTGTCCCTTTAATATAGATATACCATCTTAGCGTTTCTTCTTTGAAAGTCCATTTAAAAAGTTAAGCGCCGCTCCCCCTCCCCCAGTTTGTTGAAAGTGTTAGTGATATTGGCCTATATTTGATATTCAGAGTTCACATGTGCTGTTCATTCCTGTAGTTGAAGATGTCGCTACTGATATTCCCTTCCTCTACCCACTAGCAGTAGAATACAAGCACACCTTTAGCTTGTTTCCTTGGTAGCAGGGAAGGGTTTGTGATAGTGCCCAACCACTTGTATGGTACCACTTGTGACCAACAGATGCACCTGAGAGCTCTGCCTTGGGGGAGCTTATGGAACAGGATTTGGGGCTACTTTTTAAACAGTGCAAACTGGCCCAAATTGGGGTTGAACTTGGGTCCTTGGCCTTATTTGAGCAGCATTTCTAACCAGATGGGCTGGGGGGGCCAGGCATATTCAAATGTCCTTCAAAGTAAACGACTGAGTCTGCTTTGGACATTACCTGGGTACCTTAACCAGCATTAGCCTGGCAGTTTACTAAGAATTTGTGCTGCTCTTGCAATGAAGCCCCCCCAAATCCAAACAAAGCCTCATTTCGTAAAAAGAGTGAGCAGAGGTCACTTTTATGTCGTATCCGTGATGAATTTTATCTTTTAAAAAATGAAATTGGACATTGAAGATTGAGAATTCCATTCCATTCTGGAGCACAGCCTTGCTTTCTTTTCAGAGGGTGTGCAAGCCACTCTTTGCAAATCCACAGGGGTGGTTTTCTGATTGGCTAGAAATGATCTCCTCTCTGTGGAACATTCCATTGCATGGGGAGGAAGTGGGAAATGTTCAGCCTCGGCTGGCTTTGAAACAAATGCAGCACGTTTTAGGCATAAAAGCAGCTTTTATTGAGGACAGGCCACCTCTAGCCATCTACCTTCACCTTCTATGATGTATTCTTTTAGCAAGTATTAAAGAAGTGGGTCCTAGAGAATGTTAACACTAATGAACGAGGTTGTGGGAGCTGTTCTCCATAGGCACTGGAAACAGTTGGAGTTTTTGTTTTGCAGTAGAATGCACATGACGCTTCTAACGTGCATGTTGGAGGCATCTTTTTCAGAAGCACTCATTTACTCTTCCATTGGATTGTGAAGTGGGGTTTACTACTTAATTATAAATACTTTATTTTTTAACTTTACAAAATTTGTAACTTATGTATCTTACTGGGAATATGGAGATTGACTTAAGCCCTGATCATTAGCAGGGGTTAGATGTACAGTGGAGAGCAAAATTTGCTATCTGTTTTCCCAACTAGCAGCTGAATGCCTATTGTTTTGAGGGCCTGTTCTCTTTTTAAGAGACTATGCTTCATTGTGCATCTGTAGCTTTAGTTAATTGCGTAACAGTTCTCTCTTTAAAATCTGTATGCAGTAATAGCATCAAGATAGAGGCAGCATTATATAGTGGATAGAGAGCCGGCTTTGGGGCCAGAAGCCCTGGGTTCGAGTCCTCACACACACACTCGCTCACACTCAATCTGTGACCCTGGGCAAGTTCATTTAACTAACCTCTCAGTGCCCAGGGCAACTTTCTCTGACTATTACTGAGGAGTTGTGCAGAGGAAGAGAATAGAGAGGGAGTTTCCATGCTGGAAGCTCCCCACACCAATGGAATCGGGTCTGGGCCAAGCAATGACAACCACAAAAAACACCCTCAAGAAATGAGATTTAACTATTAAGTTTAGAGGAATACTGAAAACCAGAAAGAATTTTCTGGAGTGTTTCCATTTTAAATAATGAAAAATGTGTTGAAGGCTTTTTGTTTTGACTCTAAGCAATTGATCAACAGAGATTTGTTAGTGTTAGGTTCTACAAGTGCAAGCTTTCTCAGTAACATTTGATAATGAAGCACTTGGAAGAATTGCTCAGAAAAGAACACCTCCCTCCGTGTAAATGGGGTTCTGGAAGGTTTGCTTGATTGGAGGGAGATAGATAGGTTGTTTCTGTTACATTAGTAACAAAGAGATTAAGGCTTTTAGGATTTCATTTGACTCCATGATCTTTTTAAGCTGTTTTCTTCTCAGATGTTGACCTTCATCTGAATCTTTAGAAACTGGTTGGGTATTAGCATTCCTTCAAGTAATTTTTCCACTTCTCATTGTACTTTCCCTGCCCCACCTTCCTCTTCCCCTCCAAAAAAACCCCATAAAATCCTTCTGTTGCTTAGTGTCACGATGTCCGAAATTATACTTATTTGAGATATGATTTCTCTTTACCAAATGGGGATGACTTGAAGAAGGCTATCTTTAGGCTTGGTTGTTTTCCAAATATCTGTCTCCCAGGGAGGGGAAAAAACCCAAAGCTGTCCTCGCTATGGTCAGTTCTTTCTTGAACTGGCTTACAGTGACACCTTGTGGCCATTTTGACACCTCTCCAACAAGGGAGGATTTTCGGAGTCTCAAAAATAGGATAGGTTTTCTGCCTTAAAAGAAAAAAAGAAAAAGGGTTTTCCCTTCAATGATTTCCTTGTCAAAAATCATTACTAATTTTGAAGTTCAAAGAAGCCAAAATATGCCTGGCATGTCTCCTGGCATGGAGCTAACTGGGGACTAGATCATGTCCTTAAACACAAAGCCAAGGCACCTGTTTTTAAGGTAGAATGCATTTCAGTATTTTTTTGGTGAATAGTGCAGTGCTGTTACCTACCTGGTTATGGGTAGGTTAATCATGTACTTGTGATTGGAGTGGGGAGGGGGTGACCCTTTGGGACAAAGAGGCAACGTCATATGGTGATTGGAAAGAGAAAAGCCCTTTTTGACTCTCAGAATCCTAAGCTAATGGTGGTTTGCTGCCTGCCCTTTCTTTAACTTTCCAGTTTTGAAATCAAGGGCCTTTGGTTTCACCGAAACTTTTCTAGCGATTTTCCTGAGTGAGTTGTTTGCACCATTTTATTCAGGTGAGAGCAACCGAAAGTTTCTGGAGTTTGGGTTCAGCCCTCTGATGCACCAGTGCGGCAGTGCCGTTAAGGTGATGGTGCAACTCGGAAGGCATTCTGTTCCTGTAACCTTTTTGATTATAGTCTCTTGTCATTTCTGTAGGCACCAAATCACGTGTATAAAACCTGTTCCCAAATACAATTGCAGTGAGGATTTGTTTTTTGTTCTGAAGACAACTTTCAGAAAGCACACCCATAGGTTGCATTATTGCCACCTGGGTTGAGAGAGAAATGTGTGTATGGGTGTGTGTATGGGTGTGTATACACACACCCATACACACACATATATATGCACATACACACATATATACATACATATATATAAATATATACATATATATATTTGAGATGCAGAGGTGGTTAACAATCCTATTATGCCACACTGTGCCTTGGTATTTTCAAGGCTCCTCTAGCAGTCCCTGTCTTGTATACTTACTGCAGTACCTTGCAAGGTATGGCTGCATCAGTTCCCCAGCGTTCATTCTGAATAGTTAGTGCTCCTTTACTAACACCCTTATCCTGCTGTGCTTTGATGTGGGCACCTGAAGAGCCCTGAGATTTTATCTCCTATTAGCTCCTGTGTTCTGGTGCTGCTTTAGGGAGTAGGGTCAAGTCATACTATCAAGTAACTAGTCCAGTAGGTGTGCAATTGGCTTCTGTATCTGCCTGTTTTTATCTTCTCCCGGGACGTGCTGCTATGGGTAGATGTTTACTTGGGTCTGTGTCAAAAAACTGGGTGACAAACCTGGGAACTTTCTGAAGCCCATGAGAACCTGGGGATTGGGAGGGGAAGAGCAACTAACACTGGCTTTGTGTCTGTGTGCACAAAGTGTAGAAATGTCTGTTGTGTGAAGACTAACCAGTACTTGTCATCCCACGGCTTCCTGACCTGCAGGAGAGGCTTTCCCTCCTTTCATTCCAGAAACAGAATGGAGCTCAGAATGAATTTATTTGGCTGCCTTGCTTTCTGTGGTTTCTCGTTTTTCCTTCGTTTTGACCTGAACTCGACACTCCTCCAGCAGACCTTTTAGTTGGGAAGTCCTGTGTTTAAATGAGATTGTATTGCATTTCCTTTTTTGTACGATGTTTTAAATCTGTTAAAAATGTACTTGTTTATTTCAAAGCAAAAACCCTGAAGGGCCATATTAAAACAGTTTATTCTTGATAGTTCTCTTTTGGGAGGAGTTTATTTCCTATGTAAATGTCATACTGCAAATTTAAATTAGAGTCTATCAATAAAATGCATGAAGTGATCGTTTGTGCTTGATCATCACTCCTTGGGCTTTAAAAATTTTTTTTTTTTTTATTTTAAATGGGAACGTTCCATTTTGGTTCAACAAGTACTTGTTGAATGAATGAAAGAAAACATTGGATTGGATATGATAGAGGTTATATTTTGTAACTCCCAGTTCAGTTGACTTGATTTTAAACAATTAAGTTGAATTGCAGTGTAACGTGGGCCTGAATTTTCTTTCTTCTCATTGGGTGTTCAGTAGTACAGAAGGGTAGAAAGGTACTGATTTGTGTGCCCACGTAACTTTAGCTTTCTTTGTGTATTGTATAAAATAAATAGCTTAACTTAACCAGTCAAATTTTTCTTTGATTTGTCAGAGGTCTTGAAACATTTCTGCAGATGTTACGAAACATCCATACATAGACTTATCTTTTGCTGGTGGTGTCTTCTCACTATCGAGCTGAATCCTGTGCTCTTTCAGATGTTACTTAGCCTTAGGATTCCTCTCCTGAATCCCTCGCTTTACCTATATACACTTGCCCAGCCCTGCTCTGCCAAATGTGCCCGATTAACCTCTTAGCACTCCTCTGTGAGCATACTTGGCTGTTACTGGTTTTCAGAGAGTATCACAGTAGAGTAGGAGAGAGAGCTGGATGGGGTTTTAGGGATCATCTGTTCCAGGGGTTCTTAACTTGGATTCTGTGAACTTCTCTCTTTAATATTCTGATGACTTTTTATGTAATTGGTTTCCCAGCTTGGTGGGGCAGTAGTTAAGAGTGCTAGACCTGGAATTGGGAAGAACTGAGTTCAAATCCACTCTCAGACACTTACCAGCTGTGTGACCCTGGGCAAGTCACTTAACCCATTTGCCTCAGTTTCTTCAGCTGTAAAATGGGCATAATAATATCCTACTTCACAGGGTTGTTGTGAGGATCAAATGAATCTTTGGAAAAAGTGCCTATTAACATCGTAGGCACTTTATAAATTCTTATTCCTTCCCCTTTGTGATCCTTTGTATTTTATGCATTTAAAAAATATTCTGCAAAAGGGGTCATGACACAAAAAAGGTTACAAATCTCTGATTAATTTTACAGAGGAGGAAACTTGGGGCCCTAAGACAGGAAGTGTCTATCCTAAGGTCACACAGCTCTCTCTCTTTAGCTGAAATTAGTCCACCCAGCCACCTATGAAAACCCACCTGGTAAATTGGGATAGGAACTGTGGCTCAGTGCAGCCAGTCCTACTTATAGTTTAGGAAGTCTCAATGGTCTGTTATTGGCATCCGTGCACTGACTTGCTGAGCAAATGACAATTCAGTTGAGATGATGCAACTTTTCCCCTTTGAAGCCTTCAGGCCAGGCAAGTTTTCGATCCTACCTTGCCAAAAGGAGGGCCGTCATCCTTTCAAGTGTATATACCTATATACTTGACTTACAGGCAATGATTCCTAAGAACATATGGCGTTTGGGCAGAGAAATTGGTGGCAAAGCTGAAGTGTTACTCAAATAGCAAGAAATAAAGAAAAGGAAGTCTTTGAGAGCATCGAATTCCTGGTTGCCTTTGAATAGCTATTCTTATTGCCCAAGAGAAATGAAGGCAATAGCTTTGCTGAAAATAGTGTTGGTCTGTGGACACAGTACAACCCAATACATCCTAGAACCATGAAAAGAACGCCAGTAGTAGTTTTCCTTCCAAGAACTGAGGCAGGGACTGTATTTGTCCCCATTTTATAACTGAGGGAACTTGGACTCACGCTATTTGCTTTGCCAAAAGTCACACATCTAGTAAGAGACAGAGTCAAGTTTTCTGTCTTTTCTGCTCCACCACATTCTGCTCTATGCCCTGGTCTCTATTTATAATCTCAGTCAGAGGGATGACACCCAGATGGGCATTTTGAAGTATGTCTTTTCTTGGGAGTCTGAATGAATGCTAGATTACAGCTAGTTCAATTTAACAGTTATCTTTTAAGGCCCTGTGCTAGGTGCTCAGGATGTAGACATGGTAATAATAATAACAGCTAACATTTATATAGCACATCAAAATTTGCAAAGTACATCACATATCTTCTCATGTGAGCCTTGACCCTGGGGGATAGGTGATTCTCTTATCCCCATTTTACAGATGGGGCAACTGAAGCCTATAGGATAGAGGTTGCAACTTAACCCAGTCCAACGCAGTCCCAATTCCAACACTAGCCACAACTCCACACAATCCCTTTATATTGCTAGTGCTGGGGTATAGTATTAGCACCCTGCTTATAGATGCTTGTCTGAGGCTTTTGCTACTGCTATGCTTCTGGGGCTGCATAAACCGCTGTTATGAAATAATCTTACACACACACACACACACACACGTCCAAATGAGGAAAGGTGGCCCGATGTCTTGAACTCCGGATTTCACAAATCCTGGGTTTGGGTCCTCCCTGGTCCCTGTGTGACTTTGGAAAATCACCCTCTTTAGATCTCAGTTTTCTCATCTCTAAAAATGAGGTGATCTTTAAGGTATGGAAATTGAAGAATCAATTTCTGAGCCACATGAGAAAATTAGTCCAACAACTTCAGAGTTTTGTTCTTAACCAAAAACCCTGATTTATCACTCGTTTGCCACAATTGGCTCCAAATGGTCTTTTAGCTGTTTGCAAAAATGAAATTTGCCTTCAAAAGATAAACATTTGCCACCACAGAGGACACTTAAGTGTGCTTTGAGGGCAATTCCCAAAGAAGAGTTTCAAACAATTCCTTCTATTCCAAAAATGGGTAGAATATTTAAATATTTAGCCTACCAAGGTGACTAGTTTTAAAAGATGGCCCTTGGATATATAAGTTTTTTTTTTTCCTTTTAAAAAATCTGTCCCTTTACATTATGGTCACATGATGTCTCAATGAATAATGGTAGAATATTAAAACACACTCTGCATAGGGTCCTTAGTTGAAAAGTAGAGAACTTCAGTTTCAAGGTGGTTTGATAGGGGAGGTAGGGGTGGTGGTAATTAAATCAAGATCAGAATTATGGCGCCTGAGGGAGAAAACAAATGGGAAGTTTGGACCTGGGAGAAGAAGGGAGTATTTGGACCCAAATAGCTTCAAGTGAAAAAATCTGCAGTCTTACTTACAGTTTCCATCTTTTTTCTCCCACAGCAAATAACACACACAAAAAAGTTTCAGGCACATTAAGACACTAGAAAATGAGTTTTTCCCCTATAGGATGAATATAAACAGCTTGTGCCCCATTGTGAAACAGTAGTGACTATTTAGTTCTAAAGCCTTGTCTTTTCTAGCCTCACTTCTTCCGTGCATGCCAGAGCAACTTGGGCCATGTCTGCTGGGCCAGGAGGGAGGATTGAAAGGGAGGGAAACAACAAGAAGACCAACCCATAGACGTTTCTCTGAGAAGAGACATCCACCTCTTTGGGGTCCACGTCCACATTGCCAGACTCATGCAGGGCAGATTTTTCCATAGGAACATTGAAGAGCTTTGTGTCATTTTGAAGGGAGGGTGACTCATAGCCCGCTAATCCAGAGCCACCTTCTGACCACACGTAAGAATGTGTGCTGCCATCTTTCTAGCCACACCCCAGCTGGTAATTCAGGCCTTGGAGAATTGGCAAAAACCATTGACGTGGGAGTGAACCGACATCATGTGGTTATGCTAAGTGTTAGGTAAGTTTGTCAACAAATCTACCATCTTTCAGTAGGCAGAAGAGGGAGATCCAGTGACAACCTTCAGTGCTTGGATTTATGCTGGAGTAAATGCCTGATTTTTATTTATTTGTCTATTGACATCACAAGTTGTGTTTGGCTTCTGTTCAGTTGGCAAATATTTATCAGGTGTTTACTGTGTACTAGGTCCTGGGGATACAAAGAAAGACAAAACCTATTCTCGAGGACTTTACAATGAGTATGCACTTCTCCCTGCCCCAGTATACTGCAGCACCAGGCAATCGTTAGAAACATCTTGCACAGGACAATTAAGCCTCCCTGGTACTCTCACCATTGAGGTTTCTCTTTATATATGTATTATAAATACTAATACATTTAAAATAAGACTTGTCAGGTATGGTGGGCTATCATTTTGACCAGCTGAAGTTGGAGGCCACCTACTCAAACCTCAGCATTAAGAAAAGCAAGCATTTCCTAATAGTGAACATATCTGATGACACAGCTCAAAGCAAGCAAATGTAATCCTTCTATGTTTGTCAATACGGGAGCAAAGTAGTTAACAATGCCAAGGTTGAGGTTTTGGGAAAAAAAACAACACCAGGTTCTCATGGCCTGTCTTTGTTTTGTGAATACACCCATCTTAACAGATGCCTTTCTCCATTGCCTTATGAGTCTGCAAAGCAACTTCTTAGTGGCACTTCTGGATTGGGAAATTAAGCTCCCAGGACATGAGTGGAATTATTGCTTTTTTGGCCAGTACTCCAAAGCCAGAGCCTTCCATGTGATGAGGCTGTGGCCCAGTTGGCGAAGCATGGCTAGCTGGCCAGACACTTGGCTCTCCTCCCCTCCAACTTTACAGTTGCCATAGGACGAATGGGATAGCAGGTATTTCCATAGAGTGGTATTGGCACAGCTGGAATTGAGTCTGACTTGGTCAGACAGTGTGGGAATAGACAGAGGTAGACATCTCACAGAAACATCTGAGGGTTGATCCAATTTTTTTTTTTTTAGAGTGGGTTGGCAACCTTTCAAATACGGATTCCCAATGTGACATTGTTCTGGCATGGAAGTGGGGTGGGAATACTAACTAGGCTAACTTGGAATAACAGAGGATAGGGGTTGGGAGACCACATGCCATCTGTTGGAAACAGGGAATGTAGAAGGGCAACATTGACTTGCATGTCGCTGAAAATCATACTGGATGTCCTATGTGGTATGTGTACCATAGGTTCCTGGGACAGCTAGGTGGTGCTACAATGGATAGAGTGCTGGGCCTGCAGTCATGAAGACACATGTTCTTGAGTTCAAATCTGGCCTCAGATACTTACTAGCTGTGTGACCCTGGGCAAGTCACTTAACCC